GATAGACTTACCTCCATGTGGTGCACCCTGGGCAACTTATCCTCATACGACAAAAGAGGCTGTTTATCAGGAGACAACTCTTAATTACCATGACCCGACGGTTTGTCACTTTCGACCACTTCCACAGTACTCACCTCGCCTTTTTCTACCTTTGTGTCTGACTCTTTTGCATCTTTGAAACACTCTTCTGCCCCCCCCCCCCCAACTCTCGACATTTTTCACTTTGATGTTTCTTCCCTCTGTAAAGCCCAAAGTCAACTAATGAGCCAATGATAATTCTCATAAAGACTGCTATTTGCTACAAATAATGAAGAAAGAAATAGTGTTTATTTGCATAACTATGGAACTAAAGCAAGACGTTTTAATTTTTTTCATTAAGAAATACTGGTCGCTCTCAATTTTAACTATTCTAAAACCTCCTCAATAGGTAAAATATACTGAATTCGTTGAAATTCACTTGCTTTCAACTGCCAAATTTTTCCCCTTTTTTCTGTCATAAAAGTGGTGACAGGAGCATTGGCCTTGATCTATGCCTTGCCTGAAGAATTGTGTGTGTGACGAATGTCGTTATAGAAATTATAATGAGTGGGTCAGCCCTGTAGTAGGAGATATGTTTATTTCAAATTCGGCGGTCTTCCGTTAGAAACAAATTGCTAAGAGCTTTCTTTTATTTCATTTCTCTTTGCTTTAAACGATTAAGATCACCTTGATTATAACCGAAAGTACTATGCATTTAGGACTGTAAAGTGTTAGCATGGATGCGCGGAAGTCTGGACTCAATACCGCCCCTCCCCTGCTCCCTCCCCCCCCCCCAAAGTTCGGAGGGTTCATAGGTTTCAATGAATAGGTGGTTGATTTTTCATTAATGGTGGAAGTCAAAGAGCAGTGTGTAAGGACTTGTAAAGGGAAAAAAGTGAAAGTACAAGGAGTTAGTTTGGACCATCAGAGTTACAAACATATTGTAGCTCAAGGTCATCTGGGTCATTTAATTTGGCATTGAATCCAAACTGCTCATATTGTAAACGCTCAGCATCAACTCTCACAGTTTCTGCATCCCTCTCAGTAAAGATCGTTTCTTCCCAGTGCTGTTGTATACTTTTAAAATACAGCCTTGTCTTTGAAAGTAAATCAATTTCCTACGTGTTGTCATCGCATTCGTTGTCGATCCTAAATTAGGGATCCATTCAATCTCTCTAATTCGCCTAATTTTTTTCGGAAGGTGTTATGAAATTTCATCGGGATTTATTTTGTTCAGAGCGTGCTGTGAAATTGCTAAGTCATAACCTTTCCCAATTCATACTGCTAATAATAATGAGGTTTAGAGATGTTTATCAAAGTAAATTAGGTTGATTAGGCTAAAACATGCATATGAGACAAATGCACGCGATACATGTGTGCAACTTTGGCCGATGATATCATTTGGAAGCAAGTCCTATTTCCGACACTTTTGTTCTTTCTTTTGCAAATTAAGAATATTAAATTATCCTAGGCAAAGCGTTTAAATATCTTTCAGAATGAGAATAATTTTTTGCTGAGGGGGTGTAGGCGCCGTATTTAGGCAAACGTCCATGGTCCTATTCCCTTTGGTGATGCGGATATTAAAAGTTGAAGACCCACTTCACTTGTAAGCGCTTTTTATAAGAGTGATTAAGAAATGAGATTTTCGTTCAGTGAATTTTGAACACAGAAGACATTAACGCAAAGGAACAAAATAAAGAGAGATAATCAGCAACTTTATTGAATTTATCTCATTCCAAAACTCCTGATGTGTGTGTGTGTGTGTGTGTGTGTGTGTGTGTGTGTGTGTGTGTGTGTGTGAGTGTTATACGCTGGTTATTCAAAATTTCTGCCTGCTAATCTCTGGAGGCTTCCGACTGAGAAGGAGAAATGGCCTATTTACTTGCTCTTTTTCAATGGTGCGCAACTGTCCCCCAACTAATTGCCTCCTTTCTTGTTAATTTGTTTAAGAATAAAAGTTCATATAAGAAAAGACCTTCAATATTATATATTAAACCCCTATAATGTTTATTTCAAGGAATTAAAGGAAGTATTTCCATCAGCTTTGATAGTTATACAATACTAAATTTATTTTAGAAGCATCAAAATTATTAAAGCCAAGCTCCAATAGTAAATTGGGTCAGATGAAATCGAAATATATCCGCATATCTGATTAGAAGTTTGTACACTTTTTGTCAAAAATATTTTTTATACTTTTAATATTTCACACTTTATAAAAGGGATAAGCTTTCAGTTATATTTTCAAACACTTAGTAAGATGTTGGATTAGAAACTGAAATCTATCTTAATTATCAAGATGGAAGAGATATGTTTATGTGATTAATATTTGCACAATTCAAATATCCCAATACTCAATAATAATTTAACTAAGGACTAATAAATATGCAGTTTTATACAGTGACTTTTAGTTAGACGACCTTGGTCACTTTGTTTGTAGAAATTTTCCCAATTCGAATTGCGCAAAGGAAGAGCCTGATGGCCACTATTAATAAAAGTCAGTTTAAGGTACAAGTTAATTCGTGGAATCTGGGCAATCAAATAATAAAAAATGTGGCAAAATCAGCGCGTAACCATTTGCAGGAAAGTATTTACCAAAAATCCATTGAAGCGAATTGTGATGACTTACTGACAATATACAGCAATGCGAAAAGCACCTATGATCTTAAAACTAGATTTAAAAAGGTGTCTGATGTCTTGTCGATTTTAAAAATTTGCGAAGAACATGTTAATAAAAGTATTTCTGAGCTAAATGGAATTAAAGTAACAATGGAAAAAGATATCCAACAATTACATGAATACGAAAATTTCAATATTCAAAGCTTAACTCTCAGAGATCGACGTGCCGGCATAGATTATGTGGAAGATAAGCCTGATTTTGAATTGAGAAAAGAAAAAGAAATCTTGCAAAAAAATATTAAGCTTATGCAAGCTCAAATAGATAAAGTCTTCGAGAAGATACTTCGATTACAAGAGGTTCGTCACAAGTTGTTGAAAGATATTGAGGATAAACACGTGGCGAAGGACATCGACTTAAGACAGTACCATTTAACTCCCGCTGAAGCTAGTTTAAAAGTCAATCCCACAGAAACACCGCGCAAGTATGTGAGTATTTTTGCTTATGCTATACATTTATTCTAGCATCGTAAGTATAAGGGAATGGGAAAGATTTTCTCTGCAAAACATATACCTAAGTAACAAAGTGACACATGAGTCTCCATTTCTATATAATGAAAGTAATCAGTTGGCTGCGAATGTTGGCATCGAGGTGAAGGAACAGTATAAAGCTGTTAATGCTGCTTTACGAGAAAGGATTCATGAGATATTTCAAGTTATAAATCAGCTCAACTGGGAGAAGAAACAAGTAAGAAATATTCTGGAAACAAATTTCAGTATTATAATTTTAGACTGAATACAACATAGAAATAACAATTCGTGAAATCGACAGGCTAGAAGATTTGTTGGCTGGTGAATTGCCAAGGAGAAAAATAGCTGAAACACGATTGGAAAATCGTAAAATTCGACCAGGAATGGAGTTATGTGACGACATACCCCATAGGCAATTAATCAGTGAAGTTGTACTTCATGAATCTACTCTCAAATCACTGAAAGATCAGATGGGATTCTATCGGTAAGTTTAGTATGCACATTGGATATGTGCATTAATCTTTCGTTTTCTCTCTCTCTCCTTCATAAATTGTTCAATATCAATTTTCGGTTTGCTAATTAGCTTTAATTTTATATCAAAATGTATAGTTAATTTATTGAGTTATAATAATTAATAAAATATATAATTTATAATTTTGATGATGTCTAGAGGTCAACTAAGTAACCTCAACCGCGCACTCCATCGTATAGAGAAGGACCTTCTTTTGAAAACGAGTACTCACGAACTAGACCGTGAATGCCTGAAGATGCGCGAAATGCTACCGGCAATGGAATGGACAAGGGTAGAAATGGTGGAACCAAATGGCTCACAGAATTAACTATATTCCTCAAAGAGTGATAAAATAGATATATTTAAAATTAGGTAATAATATATCCATCTGCCTTGACGTTTTCTTATTGATTCTCAAGCTGTTATGACCTGCTTTTATTTGGAGGATACGGCTACTGAATTAGAATTCTCAGGAAAGTTTCTTGTTTAAAAATATAACCCGATAACACCACAATGCAAAACGATCCTCATTACCTCATTTACACTTCAATAGAGCTCTTTATATTACTTGCCATTTGGAACATTAACTGAAATAAACTTCTTCGAATAATAGAGGATTTGTAAAATGTGAAGGTATTTGTTTCCTATAGTTAAGAAACGATGAACCGGTTTGAATCTCAAGAAGTGTTCTTAGGTATATCACATTTCTATTGCAGTACTACTTTAGGAGTTTGGCTACTGTTAAACTTAGATATAACCCCTTATAAAAGTAAAAACTTCCTAGAAGTTAAAAAGATCTCAAAAAACCCAAGCAAAATCAGAGAATCAAGGGTTAGTTTGGGCCGAGGCAAAAAGAACGCAAAATGTGATGATAGGAAACAGGGGTACAAAGTGGTGAGCTAAATCAACCATGTCAATCGATAAGGACGGACTTGGGCCAGAAGTCACCAAAGTTTCTAAATAATCAAATTGGGTTTACGAGCAAAACTTTTCATAGTTAGAGGTCAGATCTGTATCGTTTTCAATGACTTTACTAAACACACACAGGATGATTGTTTAAAATGGCATCGAGAACTTATCCTTGTCATATGTATAGGAAGAGAACTGCCAAGTATGACTGAATGTCAACCCGATCTACTATAGGAAACATTTGGCATATATATCAATCTAGGTTTGTGAGACATCAGTCAAGTCTGGCCGTTGAAGATAGTTTTATGGAAGTCTGAGAAGGGATCAAAAATATTAAATATATATATATACAAATTTAACAATCAAAATATTATATTTTCAAATCCTTTTTATGCTATTACAAATGTAAATGTTGACGAAGAAGTGGTTTATTAACTTGATTACTTTCCATTTGGTTTTTGACAATTTTTCGTAGTTATTGCTGATTAACATTGATAAAACAGGGTATAAATACTGATATGAACAAAATACATAGAATACTAAACGGACCCTCTTGGTTAGCAGGTAATTTCAATGCAGACCGTAGAATCGGTTGAGTATTGTTAGCGCCATTGAGGATTTATGCTTGTCATGTACAATTGAACTTTTTCTATAAAGCTATTTACAACTATTCAAATACATGTTGTAAAAATAGAATTTATACTAATGTTTATAGATTTAAACTAAAGATAGATGATAGATATTACACCATATATGTGACCAATTAATATGCAAATATGTACAAATCTAAAATTCCAAAATCTAGCTGAATGAATGAGTCGAGAATAGAATTTATATTTTTAATAAGCTTTTGTTATATATTATTGAAATTTAAAATATTACAGCAAAAGTTCATTAAATATGTGAGCTTGCCCCCGCTCTGTACAAAATAGTATAGAACAAATGTGGACTCGATTGAGTGCCGATGAGGTGTTCGGGGCAATTTATAAGTTTCATCAGCGCTCTGTAAGATCTCAAGTGGAGGAATCAAAACTCCTGACTGTAGACTCACCTATTGTTTATAATAATGTGGGTTAACGACAATTTAACTAGCTCTTTTATTCTTATTTTCTGTAATTTACTTTCATTGTTTATTTTAGGTCGAATCATCCCGAAAGAAGCTAGGTAGCTCACTTCTTGATCTAATTAAAATTTGTGTTGCGGAACCGTTACGACATCAGCGTCTCTTTCGTTTGAAATATAGGGAAGATATGCATCTTCCAGTATTTGAATCTTCTTTAATTGCTACCGCAAATCGTCTTGTTGATCTCTCATCAAATTCGTTGGTTTACTTTTGGCTAATTTAAAATAATTCTACTTTTGTAGCCGTTCTCTAACCTCTGTACGACCAATGGCACAAAATTTACTGGACACTCTTGCTGCAGTTCAAACTCAAGTTGCTTTGATTGTTGAAAAGCAGACTAAGCGATGTATCTCCAGTAGGATGTCCTTTCGGGGGTCATCTAGGCGGCCAAATTCCTCTCCATCTGGATTTTCCTTTTCCGAGGATACACTTACTACTGATACTGATTGTAAGTAGGCACAACTTCTGGATTTGTTTATCTCAATTACGGTTATGTTCTTTTCAGTTTCTGATGATGGATTTTGTGCTACTGCTGTTCAATCTCACTCCCAAACTCCTAAACTTTCTCGCCCTGATCATCCAAATGATGACATAGATGAACAAATGAAAGCGTTAATTGAACTACTTATTCAAATAGATCATGATTTGGCCAATATTGAGTTCTCCTTAATTTCTTCCGTTAATAGAAATATTAGAACTGAAGCGGAGGCAGATTCTGTTCAGGTTAGCTTTGGTTTAATCTTTTTAATTGTTATGTCTTTCCTGTTAACTTTGAGACTTTTCCGTTCTTATCTCTATCTGTTATTTATGTCTAAGCCTATGATTTAAGTGTTTGAACAAAATTATTCATATCTCTTACTGTTTAAAATCGTTTAATTTCAATGTTGTCCTTCAGTTTCAGATCCGATAGCTTCGAAATTTACTTCGATGTTAGTTTTATTCACATGAGTCTGTTTTGCACAAACTTTTCTTTCAATCTTATTTATTTATTGGGTTAAGTAGAGGTTATTACCATTTGCGAATATTTTCAAAGGTCACTTAATGACATTCCTAGGCGCATTTAAGAAGCTTGTTTTTGTTTCTAACGCCGTGGATTTTCCCAGGTGATAAACTGCAATTCTAACTCCCTCTATCAACTAGACTTGGCCATCCCACTCACAAGAAGTCCATCTATGGTTATATAACTCGTGACCTTTGAAGTTGAAAGGAATGCAGCGTTAAGTGTTGTCCTTGGTCCATAACTCCATTCACATATGGGATGTTTTACGCGATATTTCTTTCGTCTAATTCCTGTTTTACAACTGTTTAGTGGTGCACTATTACAAGGTTTAACTCTTCTCTGCTATATTACGACTTGGAGATCTAGGTCTGCCGCTCGGATATCTCCACCAATCGGATATTGCTAGACTTCAGCTGACTCATACTAGAGCCAAGATAAAGACGGGATACATTTAACCCAAATCATTGCATTAGTCAAATAAGGACATAGCATAATTCTGTGACCCGCATAATTGTCAGCTGACAGGACCGGTACAGTATGGAAATCAGTAGGACTGACGAGTGATTTAAAGACAACTTGTGGGAACTGACTTTCCCCTAAAACATTAACGCTACATCTCTGTGGCCTTTGTTTTGTCCACCTCCTGTCCTTGTTTGATAGCTTATATGGATTGTGTGCACTTAAAATTGCGCAACGTCTTTTGATATCCACTCATTGGATCGTAGAAAGGAGCTTGATTTGGTTCAAGGTCCACAAAATTCATGAAATAATAATCCAAATTTCTTGAGTTCGTTTTTGGCTACGTTTCATCTGTATTTCTTATGGCCAATTTAGCAAAAATTAAGCTCCAAAGTTTTGTAGACAACCAGCCATTTCTCCTTAACATGAAGACAATATCAAGCAAATAGTGAACCACAGGTAAAATAAATAGAATTAAATGTTATACGCGTATAAGTTAGGACATTCTCTAACCATAGTGCTTAAAATTCGTTCTTCTGGAGTCCATATCGGGTGTTTTTTCAGTTCTATCTGGGACTGCGGGAGACGCCTGTTCGGTAATGAGCTAGTATTAGTTACGTCTTACAAATCGCACTGAATATGGTGTTGCTTGCGCCTATTAAAGTCAGTGTAAACTTCGGTAAACACTCATAAAGTGACGGGTTACATAACCACATTCGAATAGGAATAATGGAATGAATATGAGGAAGTTGCCACAGCGGTTGAGGACATGACAGAAACATTGCTTAAACTATTTGTCCATTTATTAGTGACTTGCAGAAGGAGAGACCAACCTAGAATCCGGTAGGTATAACTGTGCTCACCCAAAAAGAGCCCTCCTGAACCCAACTTGTTTGGTTTATTCAATTCAGGCAAAATTGCAAGTGAGTATACCTTGGGGGAAGTAGGGTTCACCTGTTTCTTTTCTTGTCCTAATCACCCATTTCTATCCTATTGTTTCCATATGGTTTTTTTTTCATGGGTAAAATTTGACGCTTTATCCCTCCTGGGTTAACAACTGTGCTATTTTTTAACATGCTCTGGGATAGCAGAATTAGTCACTTTTAGCTCCCACTGTTAAAACTTTTTTGCCTTTCAGGAAGTTGCTGTGCTATTCTCAGAGACTATTGAATGGGCTCTCGCCGTGGGTCTGATCAGTCGTCGTCAGTTATCCGATCGTGATCCCCTTCTGTTTGTTGCGCTTCCTCGAATAGCAATTTTCGTCGGCTGTCTTCTTCTTCCAAACTCTCCCATTGGACCGAATCGACTGAATTCAGGGTTACTTTATCATAATACTTGGTCACATTATTATCACCACGGGCTTATTTTAAACTTTGTCTACTTATAGGACGAAACCGCCCTTCATGTTTGCCGAATCAACTCGTGACCTCGCCTACCTTTCCCGTCAACTCCCTGTCCTTCGAGCTGATCAACTTTGGCGCCTAGTTTGTTGGTCATCCCCGTTTGGTTTGTCGGAAGAGGAAACCAAATGTGTCGACGCTGCCACTACTGCGAATCTCAGCACAACATCCGACATCTTATTAGGTGGCAAGAAAAAGCTGGGAATCGTTCCAAAGACCTCTAGTCGTCTTGTATTTGGATGGAACACTTATGGTCTGCACTGCATCTATAAGTGTATTTCAAGGGTAGCCGGAAATCTTTCCACTAACCACCCGTCAGAATACCGAGACATCCTCCAAGTTAGAGTCGCATTTTATTCCCCCCTCTCCTATCGCGCTACTATTTACTTATTTCATAAAACGTCATTCTAGAGTCGCGAATTGATGTAGATGGGACGACAACGACAGAGTGTTTTACTCACAACTTTTCCAATTATTAAATGATGACTATGCACCGGTCCATTTTAAAATATCCTCATCTTATTCCAGATTTTTTGAGACATCGGTTACTATTGAAACGTAAAGAGGATGTTTACACGAAGTAATTAGTTTGACCGGCTGCCATGGTCATCGGCAATTTCTGTCTGCTACGTGAATCCCCATCTCAAATGAATTTGCTTAACTGTCAACAGTGGGCAAAGGTCCCTCAATCGAAACGATCAACAACGGCTTTCAGTGTTAAATTATCATATATATTTCAAATGGCAGGTTTTTGATATTTATCATTAGGCCTTAAACTTTGACTTCAGTGTTCCCCTTGGGTTGGGGGTAAATATATAAGAGTTAATTGATAGCAATTCATTAGCAGTCTTTTTAATTCCCAGTATCTCTGGCTTTCCGCTGTTGTCTTCAGGGCTGGACATCGAATCAGGTGGGTCTTCTCCATTTCCT